ACTTGGGTCAGTGCACTGTAGTCTTCAAAGTGACATCTTTGCTTTTGCATGCTTTAAGGAAGTCTCTTGCAGTATATTTGCCACTGCTGTGTTCAGTAGCTTTGGTTAAATGAACTAAAATCAAACCTTCAGTAATAATTTCTAAAAACTTGTAATTTTCTGTGTGTGTCAGGTAACACCTTTTTTTGCTTCAGCATGTCAGCATATTTAGAAGGAAGCAGCTGTTCTGCTCACTTACTAGAAAGCCTGGCTGAGAGTTAAGTTCACACAAGAAAAAATACAATAAATCATTTAGAATCCTAACTCTTCAATCTATGAGAAAATATGATGAGCATTGTTGGGTCATAAAATTAATCTTTGTTACCTTTCATTGCTAACTCAGTTTTTTCCCCCAGTTGGATTATGAGATCTGTAACTAGTAGAATAATAAATTTCCTAACAAGATCTTGTTTTTTTAGGAGGCTGCTCCATTTTTATTTTCCAGCATTCAAGTTGTTGGTATTTCCTGGACTTCTTTCTTATGCTTTATGAATTTTCTTTTTAAAGATTTACACTCTTTTTATACAAAGATGTGGACCTCAAATGGGTCACTGAATACTGACATATTTTCTTTCACTTGCAACCAAAGGCCCATTTTATGAAGAATTAGCAATCTATTTTGAAGCCAACACCAATAGTGACAGTTGCCATACTGAATATTTGGTACAGGTCATTGGCAGATCAACAGCACCGAAATGGAAGCCCAGATCATCTCAACCTTTTCTTTTCCCATGAAACCTCATCCATTATTTTTGACTCTTTGTCATGTATATTGTTCCTAGAAAGTCATTGGTTGAAGAGTGCAAAGAAATCTGAATCTATCTGCCTTTGGGAAATACAAAGAATAATCATCCTAATCTTTTGAGGGAGTGAAAAATAGTGTAATGAGGAAAGTCAGCAGTTTGGCAGATTTGCACAAGCGCGGTTATTTGAGAACTTTAGATTTTTCTTTTATTCCCTCTTCTTAAATAAAATCCAACAACTTACTACATTAACATAAATATATGATTTGACAAGCATGATTGACTCTTGCCCTGGCCATATTTAGTTTCTTCTAAATTTAAATGCTTAAGATGTTAACCTCAAGTATGCATAATAAATCATAAGTATTTCAAGTTAACTGAAGGGAATTATTTTAAGGAAAAAAAAAATAACTTTTAGCAATAAAAATTAAATGAAGAACATCACTCCTGAGCCAGCCAGACTAAGTTCAAAACATTGCTTTACCTGTGGCTGGCACTGGGCAATATCCTATGTTTTTGTATGCCTCAGTTTCTGCTACAAGATGAGGTAAAAATGCCATGCACCTCTTTGGGATTTTATGAGGATTAAGTGAGTTAATACATTCAAATGCTTCAGCAGTCACTAGCCATTACTGTTGTACATTCATTCACTCAATATTTGCATACAGTAATATTTACGAAGTGCCGATTTCATGTCAAGGATAGGTACAAAGATACAGTATTAGTGTTGTTAGGAGCCATTGAATTGGTTTCGGCTCTGACTGACCCTGTGTATAACAGAGTGAAACACTACTGGTCCTGCACCATCCTCACAATCATTGCCATTCCTGAGCCCATTGTTGCAGACACTGTTTCAGTCTATCTTGTTGAGGGCATTCCCCTTTTTCACTGACCCTCTACTTTACCCAGCATTATATTCCTCTCAAGGACTGGTCACTTCTGACAACATGACCAAAATGTGGGAGATGAAGTCTGGTCATTGTCACTTCTAAGGAGCATTCCAGTTGTGTTTCCTCTAAGACAGATTTGTGTTTGTTTTTCTGGAACTCCAATGGTACATTCAGTATTCTTCACCAACACCACAATTCAAATGCATCAATTCTTTTGCATTCTTCTTTATTCATCATCCAGCTCACACTTGCATATAAGGCTATTGAAAATACCGTAGCTTAGGTCAGGCGCAATTTAGTCTTTAAAGTGACATCTTTGTTCTTAAACACTTTAAAGAGCTCATTTGCAGCAAATTGCCTGTATGTAGTACATTGGTTTGATTTCTGGAATGCTGCTTTCATGGCCTTTGATTGTGGATCCAAGTAAAATGAAATCCTTGACAACTTCAGTCTTTTTTTGTTTATCATGATGTGGCTCATTGGTCCAGCTGTGAGGACTGTTGTCTTTAGTTGAGGTGTAATCAATACTGAAGACTGTAGTCATTGATCTTCATCAGTAAGTGCTTCAAATCCTCTTCACTTTCAGTGAGCAAGGTTGTGTCATCTGTACATCACAGGTGGTTAATGAATCTTCCTCCAATCCTGATGCTGCATTCTTCTTCATATAGTCTAGTTATCAGATTATTTGCTCAACATACTAATTGAATAAGTATGACAAAAAGATACAACCCTGACGTGTACCCTTCTTTAAATCATGCAGTATCCCCTTGTTCTGTTCAAATGACAGCCTCCTGGTCTATGTACAGGTTCCTCATAGGCACAATTAAGTGTTCTTTTTAATATTATTAAGTTTATTATAATTATTTCAAGCCATTATGAAAAATCCAGTGAACTATTTTGCTCCTAAATGTGTGATCTATGTTTTTTGGTCTTTTTATTTACAGTGGTTTATCAAAAATCCTAGAACAAAATAACTGCTACATAGTTGTTGATGGAATGAAGTTTCAGTATATGCGTCATTGCAGGAAGGGATAACAAGCACTGGATTTAGAAACGAGATTCAGTTTAAGTCTTAGTTTCTGCCCTAGGGCATTAGATGACCTTGAGAATTTTACTTTAACTTCCCTATCTAAAAACTAAGAAAGCTTATACTTTGGAACCACTCAGATCCCTTGGTACTATGAGTCTACAGAGTACCAGGATGATACTACTATTTGCTGTTTATAATTCTATTTCTTTTAATATTTAATAAAATTTAATTTTAGAATAGTTTCAGATTTACAAAAAAGTTACAAGAATATCACAGAGAATTACCATATATCCCACAACCAATTTCCTCTATTGTTAAGAGTACATGCTGTTATGGTACATTTCTCACAATTAATGAACTAATGCAAATACACTAACTAAAGTCCATCTTTTTGTCAGATTTCTTATTTTTTTTTTTACCTAATGTCCTTTTTCTGTCCAGGTTTCATTCAAGATACCACATTACACTTAAAATCATGTCTCCTTCACACCTAGGCTTCTCTAGATTGACAGCTTCTCAGACTCTCTTGTTTTGGTGACCTTCACAGTTTTGGTCAGAGAGATTTTAAAATGTCCTTAAATGTAGATTTGTCTTTTTTTTTTTTTTAATGATTGATTGGACATGCATTATGGGTTTTTGGGAGGAAGACCATGGACCTAAAGTGCCATTTTAAATCACATAATATCAAGGATTTTATTATCAACATGATTACTGATTTGAGATTGTATTTTAATTAGTGGATAAGAGTTTAATTGATAATTTAAGGTACATTAAGGAAAATGTCTTTGGTATGTATGTAATTCTATGTATAAAATAGTTGATTATCTTTGAATACAGCATAATCATAAAATATATTTGCCTTACTTTTTTAAAAAAAAAATCTTTTTATCACTGATGAAATGTAAGTGGAAATTGGCATCTTATTATAAATTCATAGTAATTCTTCCTTTGTGAAGTCAAGATCTGTATATTAAATTTCAAATGAAAAATAGAACTGTTCATATTCCTTTCAGATAAACTCCAAGCTTGAGAAAATAATATATCTGTGCTCAGCTATGTGGTGAACAGTGTGTTAACAAAGTAGAAATGCTGGAGTTAATCATTTTGATATTAATTCCCTTAAGCCTGTCTCATGCAAGGGACTTGCCTTAAGAAATGTTAATGCTTTACTAAGCCCTAGGGCAAAGGCAATGTGGTACCTCTAATCTAGCAGCATCTTTCATATAAATGTACATTATCCTCTGAGATCAGGAGAGACACTAATGTAGCTGTGACCGGGATAGGAAGACTCGTGGCATTACTCTATACTTTTGTTAACAAATTTCACCGTAAATAGAAAAGTTACTTTAGGATTATTATGATCTATGGTATTTATGCTTTTTAGATCAAAACATAAACATTCTCAATACAGAGAAAAAGTTCTTAGACTAGGTATCCTTAGCACAATAAATTTCAATGAAATAAATACCCATGATATCATACTCTGGCTTCCATGTATGACCACAACAAGTTTAAATATACTTTATGTACTGTCGTCACTCCCCATAGTCTGGTTGTAAGAACAATTTAGTAGTTTGAGCCCACCACTGCCTGTGGCCTTACTATGGAGTCATCGTCACAGTCATAGATGAGAGTTTTATTCACACTTTTTTTTTCCCCTCCAAAATCCCTGATTTCCTTGCTATGAAGTTCGTTGCTCTAGCTCAGTATATACTACCTTTGTGACCTTAGGGAATTTCCTCATTTGCACAGGTATGTGTGATATAGTTAAATGAAATAATGTATGAACTGGCCATTTGTAAATATGTTGTTGTTAGGTGCCATCGAGTCAACAATGCCTCATAGTGACTCTGTGTACAACAAAACGAGACAATGACTGGTCCTGTGCCAGCCTCACAATCCTTGCCATACCTTAGCCCCTTGTTGCAGCCATATTATGCACAGGCACATATATACAACTGTTTCTGGTTTATTGAGAACAGCTAAAAGCCAGCAATCTTAAAATAGTCATTTAAAATAGTCATTTTGTTTTATGAGTACATTTATTTACTATCTACAATATTTTAAAAGTGTAGTTCAATATATTTTCTAGAATCATTTGAATGTTTTATGTCAATATATGAAACAAAATGTGATCATCCATGTAAATTTCCTCATAAATTGATGGACACATAGATAAGCAGTAATTTCTAGCTGCTCTTGTCATTATTAGGAGAATGTTATATTAGCAATACATTTCCAAATAGGGAGCGATAAACCCACCAATTTTTTTTTTCTTTTGTGTTATTTTGAATGCAGACAGTACCACAGGGACACCAGCAATATCAACGATGACAACTGTGGAAATTCGCAAAAGCAGTGTAATGACAACAGAGATCACCTCTAAAGTGGAAAAAAGCCCCACGACAGCCACTGGCAATAGCTCATGTCCTTCTACAGAGACTGAGGAAGAAAAGGCAAAACGGCTTCTTTACTGTTCGCTATGCAAGGTTGCTGTCAACTCCGCCTCACAGCTGGAGGCGCACAACAGTGGTGAGATGCAACGATTTCTTTCTGTCTCAACAGCTCTGCAATTATCTTACTCTGAATAGATTAGCTCTTTTGCAGCAGGGGACAAAGCGGTAGCAGAAAACTGGCAATTGTTACATGGAATTCATTAACTATTAAAAAATAAAAATGAGAGCAAAATTTACATGGGGGTAGGGAAAGGTTTCCAGGTCTTATAGGCCATGTTGTGTATGTGTGTGTTTATATAACATTACCAGACAAATAAATATGATTCTAAAATATATATTTACATTTATATGATTTTTAGATTTGTTTTGTTTTCTATGTACTTCCATGAATTTGCTTCTAAATGAAGTTTCCTAAAGTTGTACTCTAACATTTGTCTGTCAGGTTGTTGTACTGTGGTGGCTTGCATGTTGCTGGAAGCTACACCAGCAGTATTTTCAAATACCTCCAGAGTCACCCATGGTAGACAGGTTTCAGCAGAGCACCAGACTAAGGAGGAGGACACAGAAGTCAACTCAGAGGTCAATTTCTGAAAAAACTGGCAACTTATGAATAGCAATAGAACATTGTGTAATATAGTGCCAAAATATGAGCCCATCAGGTTGGAAAGACATAGCTGGGAAGAACTGCCTTCTCAAAGTAGTTTCTCAAAGTAGTCAACATTAATGATATGGGTGGAGTCAAGTTTTCAGTACCTCCATTTGCTGATAGAGCACAACTCAAAATGGGAAGAAACAGCTGCAAACATCCATTAATAATCAGGGCATGGAATGTACAAAGTATGAGTCTAGGGAAATTAAATTGGAAGTTGTCAAAAATGAAATGGAACATAAAAAGATCAATATGCTAGGTCTTGATTAGTGAGCTTAAATGGACTGGTATTGGCCATTTTGAATCAATCATATGATCAATGGTGCTGGGAATGACAAACTGAAGAAGAATGGCATTGCATTCATTATAAGAACATTTCAAGATCTATCTGCAAGTACAATGCTCTCAGTGATAGGATAATATCCATATGCCTACAACAAAGACCAGTTAATACAAATACTATTGAAGTTTATATACCAACCACAGCCAAAGATGAAGAAACTGACCAAGCATGTAATCAAGAGGTAGTGATAATTACTGGTGTTTAGAATGTGAAAGTTGGAAACAAGAAGCATCATCAGAATTGGAAAAATATGTCTGTGGTAGAGGAAATGATGATTACAGAATTTTGCAACAACATAAATGGTCACTATACACATGAACCTTGCCAGATGGAATACACAGGAATCAAATTGATTTCATCTGTGAAAAAAAACAATGGAGAAACTCAATATCATCAGTCAGAACAGGTCCATGGGCTTACTTTGGAACAGACCATCAATTGTTTATATGCAAGGTCAAACTGAAGAAAATTAAAGCAAGTTCCCAAGAGCCAAAATATCTTGATTAAATATCTTGATTATATCCCACCTGATTTTAGAGATGATCTCAAGAATAAATTTGACACAATGTAAAACAAAGAGAGCAAAAGATTATTTAAAAAGACAGGAAAGGAAGAAAAGACTAAAATGGATATCAGAAGAGACTGAAATGTGCTCTTGAACAGAGAGTAGCTAAAGCAAATGGAAAAAATGATGAAATAAAAGATCTGAGCACATTATTTTAAATGGGAATTCCAAAACACTTAATTGTGCTCCTGAGGACCCTGTACCTAGCACAAGAAGCAGTCATTCAAAAAGAACAAGGGGATACTGGATGGTTTAAAATCGGGAAAGGGGTGTGCCAGGGCTATTTCATTTCACCATACTTATTCAATCTGTATGCTGAGCAAATAATCCCAGTAGCAGGATTACATGAAGAATGCAGCATCAGAATTGGAGATGGGCTCAATAACAACTTTTGTGAAATGCACATAACACAACCTTGCTCACTGAAAGTGAAGAGAACTGGACACACTTACTCATGAAGATCAAAGACTGCATCCCAACATAAATCCTCACAAGTGGTAGATCAATAAGCAATTTCACGATACATGGAGAAAGATTGAAGTTGTCAGATTTTATTTTACCTGCATCCACGATCAACACCCGTGGAAGTCAAGGTATCAAATGACCTATTGCACTGAGCAAAAGACCTCTAAGCTGTTAAAGGGCAAAGATGTCATTTTGAAGACTAAAATGAACCTAACTCAAGCCATGGTGTTTTCAATAGCCTTCATATGCATGTGAAACTAGACAATGAATAAGGAAGACTGCAGAAGAATTGATGCATTTAAATTGAGGTGTTGGTGAAGAATATGGAATATACCATAGACTGGCAGAAGAACAAATATATATGTTTTGAATGGAGTACAGCCAGAATGCTCCTTAGAAGTGATGATGAGATTTCATCTCTCATACTTTGGTCATGTTATCAGGAGTGACTAGTCTCTGAAGGAGGATATCATGCTTAGTAAACTAACGGGTCAGTGAAAAATGGGAAGACTCTCAATAAGATAGATTGACACAGTGGCTGCAACAATAGGCTTAAGCATAGCAACAATTGTGAGGATGGCATAGGAGCAGGCAGTGTTTTGTTCTCTTGTTTAGGTTACTATGTGTAGGAATTGGCTCAAGGGCACCCAACAACAAAGTTATAAGTGAAAGATTTGGTTGCATAACTCCATGTAATTTTGGTTAAAAATCCTTCTGTTGTTTTCAAGGAGCTCTGGTGGCACAGTGACTAAGGCATTTGACTGCTAACCGGAAGGTTGGTGATTCAAACCCCCCAGCCACTCCTCAGAAGGAAGATTGGACAAACTACTTCCATAAAGATTTACTGCCTTAGAAACCCAAAAAGGGGTTGCAGTGAGTTTGGTATTTATTTTTTAAATTTTATTTTTATAAGGTCCAAAAGACTTCTCCAAAAGAGTAAAAAGAAAGAACCTACAGATTGGGAAAAAAATATTCAGCAATGATATACCTGACAAGGAAGTTATCTTTAAAATCTCTAGAACACTCCAACAACAAAAAGACAAACAATCCTATTAAAAAATGGCAGAAGACATGAATAGACACTTCACCAAAGAGGATATTCAGGTGGCCAGTTAACACATAAAAAAATGTTCACTATTATTAGCCATTACCAAACCCACTTACATCACGTCAATTTCGACTCATAGCGACCCCCACGGGTTTCTGAGGCAGTAAATTTTTACAGAAGTAGATTGCCTAATCTTCCTTCTGTGGAGTGGCTGGTGGGTTTGAACCACTAACCTTCTCGTTTGCAGTCAAATGCCTTAGGCACTGTGCTACCAGAGCTCCTTAGAGATGCCAATCAAAACCACAATGAGATACCATCTCACCCCAGCACTAATAGCAAAGTTCAACAAGACAGAAAATAACAAATTCTGGTGAGGATGTCGAGAAATTGGGACTCTCGTACACTGCTGGTGGGACTGTCAAATGATACGACCACTGTGGAAAACAGTATGGCAATTTCTTAAAAATTTGGAATTAGAAATACCATTTGATCCAGCAATCCCATCACTAGGTATATATCCTAAAGAAGTGAGAACCAAGTCAAGAACAGATATACTGCATGTCCATTGCAGTACTATTCACAATAGCAAAAAGGTGGAAACAGTCTAGGTGCCCATCAATAGAAGAATGGATAAGCAAACTATGGTCCATACACACAATAGAATACTATGCAACAGTAACAAATAATGTAGAATCTGCAAAACACCGCATAACATGTATGAACTTGGAGGACATTATGCTCAGTGAAATAAGTCAATCACAAAAGGACAAATATTGTACTAGTTCATTTTTGTAAAAAGTCAAGGAAAGGTTTATATATGGAAGGAAACTTTCTTTGTTGGTTACCAGAGGTGGGAGGGGAAGGGACAAGAGGGTACACTGCAAAAATATAAATAAAAAAAAATTATATAAAGAATTATATATTCCCCTGGGGATTCTCATTCATTGTATCTGGAGCCTGGAAAAGAAGAAAACTCAAGTGTTTTGCAGACACCTGAATGTCATCTGAGAGTTTAAGGAGGTAAAAAGTGGTTGTTACCCTTACTTGGATCTCTTCTTACTTGGATCCCTTAGTAGGTCTAGTCCACCTCATCCACCTTTCAGCCTAGTAGGAGACCATGACCACTCCCCTTTTCTCCAATCTGGAGATTTCCATATACCTCTAGTTCCTTTCCTGCATCAGAGAAGCTTTTTGGTTTAGGAAGTACCCACCCCATGGTCCCTGGCTAATGTTCATGCTAGCCCTCACACTAGACTTTCATTAGTGAGCATTTTTGGACTGAAAGTGGTAAAGGAGAAGAAAATATGCACACATGGATGCTCTTCAACTGTCCTTTTGGATGACCAGGTCCAGCTCTGCTGTCTGTAACTGGAACAGTGTTGGGAGACTCTCGGGATCTGGAGCTTCCTCTAAATGAAGATGAGTGTAAATAAAATCCCTCCTTTATCCAAACTACTGCCACTTGTACACTGGCTTCCTCTGTATTTCTCCATTAGGATCGTGTATGGGAAAAGTAATGCAGGTAGTATAAAGGAGAGAGGTTCTAGTATAGTCACTCTCCTAACAGAAATAGGAGTAGTAATTATAGGAGTATTATGGTTTTAGTTTAGGTTTCCTCAGAAGCAGTTTCTGATGAAAAAATTTGTAGTGCAAATAGTTTTTTGGGGAAGGAAAGGAAACAGGTGAAGGGAGTGAGAAGGTAAAACAGAGAAGGGTGGGCAGCCAATTTAATTGTAATTGGTAATTTAACTGGTAATTTAGCCAGTTACCAGCATGGGCCACTGGAGCTTCATCCTACCAAGGAAACTATGAGAGCCGATGAGAAACATACCTAAGTGTTATCCCATCAAAGTGGTGATGAGTCAGGGTGTAAACAGTGACTTTCATCAATGCACATCAGTCATCGGTTGAGGACAGTTCTTGGGGAAGGTTAATTCCATGGCCCTTTTAGTCTGCTGTCTGGATAGCAAAGTGGGGTCCGACAGCCAGAGAAAGCACTGGGAAAA